TTTGAAGCACTCAGCTCAGCTTACTCTGGGAGATCATCTTCCTTGCGAGGCATAGTGAGTACTAATACTATTGTTTGCCCTGGTTTCGTCCTCTATTGGTCTACTTTACAGAAAGTCTTAGGCTTGTAGGGCAGCCTCTTCTCTGGCTGCGCCGCTGCCTTTTCTCCAGCTCTCGGTGAAGTCCGCCCTCTTTCTCTCCTTGCTCTCTTTGCCTGGCTTACCCCATCCTCCGCCTCCTGGAGTGCATATGATGATGCGCTCCCCTGCTTTCATGGCAGCTGAGTTCTTAGCTCCTAGGTTGATATGCCGCTCTTCATATTCGATCTGCTCTGCATCTTCTTTTCCGTCAAGTTTCTTGAGAGACTGCTCCCAGGTCGACTTTTCTATTCTTCTGACCCACAGGTTCAATCCACAGTCGCCATCCTCGCCACCGTTGAGGCCATATGGATGATACACGCGCCTCTCACTGAGGATGGACACTTGCAGGGGTATGCGGAATTCTATATCCCGAATAACACCATCGCCACCACGGTGCTGACCATCGCCTCCTGAGCCCTTCCGAATGGAAAATTCCCGGAGGAGAACCGGGTATCTTCGTTCAAAGATTTCTGAGTCTGTGATCCTCGTGTTGGTCATATGGACGTGTACGCCACTTGTACCAACCCAATCTGGCCCAGCGCCGCTGCCACCGGCAATAGTCTCATAGTAGCCAAAGCCCTTGATAGCTGCTTTACCGGATTGGTTTCCACCAAAGCCGAAAGTGAGGTTGTTACAACACCCCTGGCTGGCGGCACAAGCCTGGAAAGCCTTGAAAACAACGTCAGTGATCCGTTGGCTGGTAAGAACGTTACCACCCACGACCGCAGCGCCAGCAGACGGTGAGAGCAAGGACTTGGGTGGAATCTTGACATGAACTGGCTTCAGACAGCCCTGGTTCAAGGGGATGTCTTCGGAGATGAGACAGCGTAGACAATAGATGATGGCGCTATAAGTGATTGCCTCCGGAGCGTTAATATTACCGTATACTTCGGGGCCAGTTCCATCAAAGTCGAATTCCGCCTCGCCTGCTTCTGGGTCAATGGTGACCTTGAGCTGGATGGGGGTCCCATCATCCATGTGGTCGATGGCAGATAGCTCTTTGCCTTCAAACCGCTTGTAAACCTCCTTAAGAAGTCGGCGTACGCAGAGCTCGGCGTTCTTCTGAATATTGACCATGTAAAACTGAACGGTCTCTTCACCGTATTCTTCAATCAGAGTCTCAATGAGAGAAATTCCCTTGTTGTTGGCGCTCACTTGAGCCTTCAAGTCATTGATGTTATCAGCGAGGCATCGCGTGCCACTGCATTCGGGATACTGGGCTGGCTCATTGTAGAACAGCTCGACGACTCGCTGCTCATCGAACTTGCCGCCACTGACTAGCTTTTCACTCATAATGGAAGCGCCCTCTTGGAACAGCTCGCGAGAGTGGGGTGGCATGCTACCAGCGCTAATTCCTCCAATGTCGGCGTGGTGGGCTCGGGATGCCGCGTAGAAGAGAATGTTCTCGCCCTTGGCATCAAAAGCGGGCATCACCAGCGTCACGTCAGGAAGATGGGTGCCTCCGTATGAGGGATGGTTCGAAATGATGACATCTCCCTTCTCCAAGCGGCCCTTCCAGATCTCGGCCTGCCGACGGACCAAGTGGGACATGGATCCAAGGTGAACTGGGAGATGCGGTGCGTTGGCTACCAAGTTGCCCGAGGCATCGAATATGGCGCAGGAGAAGTCGAGTCTTTCTTTGACATTTGTGCTGACGCTTGTTTTCTGGAGCGCGCGGCCCATTTGTTCAGCGATGGCCATGAATCTGTGGCCAAAGATGCTGAGCATGATGGGATCGACCTCACGATCACCTTCGACGGTGTGATGAGACCTGCATGATGAATCAGTACTTTTTGCCGCGTCTTAACAGAAGGGGCAACGGGGATATGTATCTCGACATACTCATCTTTAGCACCCCCCTTTGCAATATCCAGCACGACATGTGTTCCGGTAATGAGCGCTTTAGTCCGCGGCGTTACGACGATAGTTTGTGTACCGTCTGCCAGCATAGCCGGTCCGTTTACGACATCGCCTTCGCTCAAGTCTTCAAGCTTGTATACCGGAGTCTTGACTCTACCACCCTCAAAGTAGACCTCTTGCTCGCCGTGCTGCGACTTTGCGGACGCCTCTTTGCGTTTGATTGTCTTGAGCTGCTGGTCCACAGATTTCTCCTGGTGGCGGAAGCTCTTTCCGATGCCACGGACTCTTACGTCGTCTACAATGATATCCCGATCATCCAGCGTGAAGCCGAATTCGTACCTGTGCTGCTTGACGAATGCTTTGCCAAACTCCCAGTGTTTGCTGTCAAAACTGGCCTTTGCTTCTTCTTTGCTGGGCTTGATGATCATCAGCGCCGATTCCGTTCCGCGGTATCGTAGATTGAGATATTCTTCAAACACAATCTCGCTGTCGTCAAAACCTTGTTCCTTTAGAGCAGCTCGCGACTTGTCCTTTAGCTTCTCCATCTTGGCTTGCAGCTCGCCAACTACTTTCCCATCATCTTTCCAAACGGATGAGTCTGGCTCCTGTCGCTCGTCTACAACGTCTGCGAGAGCCATGCCGTAAGCCGATAGAACTGATGAATACCGGTGCACGAGGATTTGGCTGACGCCGAGAGATTCTGCGATAGCGACGGCGTGCTGACCGCCGGCGCCACCAAAGGTCGCCAGCCGATGCTTAGAGGTGTCGTGGCCCTTTGCTTCGGTTATGGATCGGATAGGTCTTGTCATAGTTTCGTTTGCGACAGTCAGGAATCCAAAAGCGACCTCATCTACAGATAGCTTCTTTCCCGTTTCCCGGTTCACCTGGTCCGTCAGTTCCTGCAATACTTTTCTGCTCGCTTCCAGATCCAGTCCCTCATCTTCATTTTTGCCAAAAATCTTGGGGAAGAATTCCGGCAAGAGACGACCCAGATACAGGTTAGCATCCGTGACAGTCGCCGGACCGCCCTTGCGATAACACGCAGGACCGGGGTGTGCGCCAGCAGATTCAGGTCCCACAACGAATAGTCCGTTGCGGAAGAAGAGACGAGAGCCGCCGCCAGCAGCGACAGTGTTGATGTCCAGCTGAGGTGACTGGATCGTGACGCCCGCAGTGGTTGTTTCGAAGACGTGCTCGTACCGGCCCTCTCCATAACGAGATACATCTGTGCTTGTGCCTCCCTAAAGGTTCATGGTTAGAATTTCATATTGCAAAAGTAGAAGGTTGGGTTGTAGGGAAGGATTTCTTCCTTACCATGTCGAATCCAATAACGGGGATCTTAGTCTCTTCATCATAAGATGTGATGGCATATCCAACCACACCTCCCGCGGGACCGGACAAGATGGCCTTGAGACCAGTAAATTTGTCGACATCGACGAGACCACCATCGCTTTGCATAAATTCGCATCTGGCGCCCCTGGCCCCTTTCTCATGTTTGACGCTCTCTGTGCCCAAGCCTCCTTCAAAGCCGGCCTGGAAGCCGTCTATATACTTTCTAATAGCCGGCGTCAAGTAGGCATCTGCACAGACTGATGTTGCTCGTGGCACTAGTTTGACCATGGGCATCAGTTCGTGGCTAAGCGAGATGTGTTGGAAACCAATCTCCTTGGCAATCCTGCCTATCAGAGCCTCGTGGTCAGGGAATGTGTATCCGTGCATGAGACAAACGGCTATGCTGCGAATTCCCGAATCGTACACCTCCTGCAGCTTTTCCCTAATGTCGTCGTGCCCAGGGCGTCTCAGCACTCTGACCGTCTCGCCCGATAGACCCCTGACAAGATCTTTGCCCTCGGCCTCCTTGGTGCCCGCCTGGGCATTAGCCTCCGTGGTTGTCCTCTCCGGATCCTCAGCGTAGTCCTCCAACGTGACACGCTCGTCAATCTCTACGACCTGCTCATACAAGACATCTGGCTTCCGAATAGCCAAATCGAATATCTTGGGCCTCGATTGGTTCCCAATCGTCAAACAGTCTCGAAAGCCCTTTGTGACCACCATGGCAATCTTCTCGCCTTTCCTCTCCAGCAGGGCATTCGTCGCCACCGTGGTGCCCATGCGGATGGAGTCAATCTGAGAGGTATCCAAAGGTTCGCCGCGGGGGATCTCCCGCTTGAGGAAATGGCTCATGATGCGCCGGATGCCCTCGAGAGGCGCATCTTTGTAGTTGGCCGGATCCTCGGAGAGGAGCTTGATGATGATCTCCTCGCCATTGTGCTCGCCAACGCAGTCGGTAAAGGTGCCACCTCGATCGATAGCTATACGGATGCCACGCTCTTTGGACGTATTATCTGCCATGGTAGCAACAAGTGACGAAGCTGAGGCTGTATTATGGAGCGGATGAGTGGAATGTTTGGAGGGGTATCACAGAGCTCTCAGATGCTGACCATAGACTTGGTGAAGTGGGATCAGTCTGAGTGAGTCTCTTTTATACCATAATTTTATTCTTTATCTAATCTCACTTCAAAGCTGCTTAGTGAGCAAATATCTCACAACCGGCACTGCTAAGTACATGATGCGATGATTGCCGCACCCGTTTGGATGGCGGGGTGTGGAGAGCTGCAGTTGCTGCTACAGGTGGCGGGGTTCCGCCTCCGTGGGCCGCCGAAAATGAGACGTGTGGAAATACGGAGTATTGCTGTGTAGGCATCATCATTGATTTGTCTTATATTTGGCTGGACAACTTTATATCTCATTACCTTATCTGCAAGCTACATATAGAAAATGGCACGGCACAGGTTAAACCAGGAAAGGAAAAATGCCATCAACTTGCCTATTATGCATTATTACTGCTATCAGAAGTACACTTGCGGCTACGGCCTCGCAACGCCGCCCCGTTTCCCCATCTCCGTAAAACGGCCTACAACAATCTCCTCTTGGTGTCCAGCTGGTGATTTGCAGAGCTCACATAGTGAAATTCGGCTCCTTCTACCATCCAATCATCTCAAGGCACTTTGGCCGAGTGGTCTAAGGCGCCGTGTTCAGGTCCTGTTCGAGTCTAGAATTCGAACAATCTATTCGCGGTCTAGAAATAGGCGAGGGTTCGAATCCCTCAGGTGTCATTTTTTTCTCGTCGTCTCTCAACAAGCAGAGAGACTTGTTGAGATTCGATTCTTTTTTTTTTTTTTTTTTTCTTTTTTTTTTTTTTTTGCCCCAACTTCTTCTCGCTATTGTTTGTTATAACGTAGTGGCTCATGGCTCAGGCGGTTCAACTCCTGGGTCTCAAACGCTTTCTTGAAGGCTCTTTACCTGCATCTCCACTGGCTTGACTAGCTTGTCGCTTCCGAGAGCCTCGTTTTGGTTTCTTCTCTTCTTGTGGTGTTTGTTTTCGAGGCCTAAGTACTCTAGTAGGTTGTTGAGCTTGAAGAGAGTTCGGAGAGGGCGAGTCATCTTCATTCTTCTCAGTGTGTGCGCTAGTTGCATCACCTTCACCCTCATCTCCCTTTTCTTGGGTAGTCACATTGGGGCTATTTCCTGGGTTACATGTATTATTACTGTCATCATTGCCTTTAGAGACAGTTTCATTTCCCTGCTGGACTTCATCTTCCTGTCCACTGATGCCTTCAATCACGCTATCCTCGCTTTCTGATAGTATATGATCGCCATCGTCCAGATGATAAGCCCAAGCATCGATGCCGTTCGTTGTGTGGTACCGTTCAAGGGCGTTCTTTAGATTATTAGCCAAAACAAAAGCAATGTCTTGACAATTTCGTAGCATGGCAACACCTCGAAGAAATTCTTCATACGACCCCACCAAATTCGCTGCCAGAATAGGATATTGGTGATATTCTACCCTGCCGCTGGGCGATTTGGACTCGTAGTGTGCGTAGAAGCGAATAGACAGTCCATCCGTAATAAAAGTTACAATTGCCGCCATATCCTCCGGGTCTTTTCTAATCCTGGCGTGCAAAAGAGTTTCGTTTCTTATGTAAACAAGTGCCGCGCCGTGCCGTGCATCCTTCGCCTCTTCGGCTTCCAAAGCTCCCACTGCAAACTCACCGGTCATGTGAGGGAGAGTAAGCGATGGAGAACCGGACAAGATGCTGCTATAACATACGGCCGCGCCTAGACACTCGATATCAACGGCTCTGTAGGCTTCAAATGAGAATCCTTGGGTGTATCCAGGACAAGGCTGCTCGAGGCCCTGAGCGAAAGGCGCATATTCAGGGAAGTCGTACCAGCGCTGATAGTACATCCTCACAAGTCTGGCCCGCTCTGGAAATCCCCTGAACAAATATCTCATGGCCACCCTGGCGAGATCTCGATGCCGTCTAAAATGAGGGTATGCCTTGTATTTCTGCCACATTGCGAGTGTCCACTCGGATTCGGTCCTCGCATATTGAAGTCGCGCTTGTAGCCATGCCAAATTCCTCGGCGGCCTGGACAGTTGTGGCGTGAGAATGCCATTTTGCAACTGTACTGCCGGATACTCGTGTTGAGGGACGAGCTTATTGACAAATACCTTTTCAGCATCAGCTGGGAGCCAGTCCGGAGCCTCTCTTTCCTCGCTCTGATCTGAGCGTTCTTGTACGATAAACGGGTCGTGATGTTGCTGGTTAGAATCGCCCTGTCTGATTTTCTGTAGAAGGCGATACCACGGCGCAAATCTCTCTGGCCCATCTTGGGTATCAACTGCGTTGCTTTCTTTATCTTCTGGAGGCATGATGATTATCTGCAAGTTGCCACGGTGAAATGATGTCCAACTCTTAAGAGTCTCATATATTGGTGATATTCAAGTTGATCCCAAAATGAACTCTATTGACGGAAAATCATACTTATTATGCAATGACACTTGATGCGGATTCTTAGCATTGCCCTGAGACTAAGATGAGATTCGGGCTCATCTCTCTTGTTATATGCAGCTTTTTTTTCTTTGGCCTCGTTTGTTTCCTGCCCGTAACTGCACTGCACTGCCATGGCCGACGAACACTGTCGACGCCATCTGATGGCGACATATTTTAAGAAGCTCTCCTTTGAATTGAAGGCTCATTGAGGTTCTTTTAGTTGAACAACATTGTATGTGTGAAAACCGGAACACAGAGTCAGCACAGAATCGCTCGTCAATGAGTTTTCACAAAGAGCCGATGTCATAAAAGCGGCCGATACGGCCATAGGTCGTTGTTACGTCTCGTCTCAGCTAATCCGCATATATTTAAAGACTACGATATAATATAATCGCGATGTTCATGAATGGAAAGCACATGGTGAACGTTCTATGGACAGAGCTCTCAATGCTTCTTGCTCAGGCAAGAGTGGTTAATCGCATGTACACACGATACGCAGATGCAGGTACGTGCACGTGTTGCTCCGAAGTCCCAGGCATGTCATGCTGTCTCTTGAATTCATTCTCTCATCATTTCTCCGCATGCACGTCTCTCTCATCACATCAAATGTTTGCCCATTCACCAAGTAATGATGATGCATCTCTTCAAAGCCGCTGTTCACACGTCACGCCAAGTTTTTTCTCCGAAGGATTTAGAGCCCGGCCTAGCTGCAAAACTGGGAACCGCACGCAGATTAATTAATTCGCAACGACACCGTCGCTGTTGGGCTCGTGTCAATCCATGCAACACCATGTCAGCGCCAGCGAATAACGGCCCGCCATTGGCCACACCAACGGTCGACTATGACCTCATTCATTCGATGCTGAAGCAGCGCTGCCCGACTCTGTCTGCAAATCACGACATCCATCAGAGCACTGGGTATACCAGGGCATTTTGGGCATTTCTTGGGGTTTCTTTTGCCTGGCAGACGCAAAATACAGGGGGGTCGTATGAATGACAGCGTCTCGCTTAACGCCGGCTGCCGTGTTTGGACAGGCGATGTCGCTGCAGCAAACCACGGCTTTGTGATGCCTGGATCGGGACCATCGCCAGTTGGGCGAGGCAAACCGGCTTTTTGGTCGTGAAGAATGGCGTATGTCCTTCCGTCGACGGGGGTCATGTGTGCTACGTATGACGATTGGACCGAGATGGTGTTGTTGATCAGTGACCATGGGCGAGCGCTGCCATTCGCGAATGAATAAAGGCAGCGGCTTTGTCCTTCCAGACACATTGAGCAGTCGTTGACCGTCCATCGCCTCAGAGCATCAACATCACGCCTCCTCTTCTCAGCAGATTCCCTTTATAGAAAGCAGTCCGTCTGCCTCTTTGCGTCTCAGCCTTGTATAACAAAGCACCAAAAAAGCACCAACAAAGGAATCGTCAACAATGGCGTTGGATCGCATCATCAACATTGTCCTCCGAGCGGCAGAGCTCGTCTTCGCTACCATTGTCGCTGGAGTGACAGGCCAGCACCTCCACCAGTTCCGCCATGCGTCCAACTGGTCTCAGGGCCGCTTCATCTATACCGAGGTGATAGCGGCATTGTCCATGTTCTTTGCCTTGATATGGCTTATTCCCTTCTCGTGGTCCTTTGTCCACTGGCCAGTCGACATCATCCTCAGCCTTTGCTGGTGGGCAGCCTTTGGCCTCTTGGTCAATGTAAGCGTTCTTTCGCAGATGACACGTAACTCTGAGGCTAACATTCATTGTCTAGATGCTAGATGGCTCCTGCGGCTACGTCTTTGACTGGAACAACGTTCACCCCATCTCCGGAGATCAATGCGGCAAGTTCAAGGCCGATATTGCCTTCACATTCCTGTCCGCTCTTCTTTGGCTCGTGTCTGCTCTGCTCGGAATCTACTGGGTCACCAGCCATGGACGTCGCGCTAGAGTCGATGCTGCCCAACGTCAGAGCCACCGCCGCTGGTACCGACGAAGCCACGTCTAAGTGCTACCAAAGAATTAGCACTGCCAATAGCCATAGACGGCACACGATCATTCATGATACCCTCACTAGTACTCTTTCGTTTGGTGATCTACGCCCCATTGCGGTGTGAGAATGGGGTTAGAGTTGGAGCTTGAGATGTTCAGGGGAAGTGAGAAAAAAGAAAATTGGTTTTGCTCTTAATGATTAATTCGGCCTTTCCCTAATCTACCACTTCTGACGACTTTTATAATGACTATACCCAGCTAAGCTAGCACTTAATTAACTTACTGCTCCTTCATCTTTGATATTAATGAAATAAATCTATTGTTACAAACATGCTTATCTCGCTTTACCCCTTCGTGAATATATAAATATCTGCCTAGCTCCCGGCATGAGCGTATCGTATCTGCCGAGTCTGAGGATGGAAATAAGATTTGGTACTAGGAATTCCCCTTTCGTAACGAAATCTCATTTCCAAGAGATTTTGAAGTTTCCAACAGATGCTTAACTATACCAAAACAACACGCACTATCGACGCCAAGATCGAGATTCCAAGATTCCGAAGAGAGCCGCAAGCCGTAGATCTATCCAACCACACCCACGTCATCACGAAATGAATTGTCGTGCCGTGGAGTCGCATCCGTAACATGCTAGCCAAACACAAAAAAAAACATAAAACTCGAAATTCCATGCATTTATGAAAACGAAGACAAGCCACACATGTCCGCAACTTGGCCAGCTGCTCTCGTCTCACCAGCCACAGCTCGGCGGATGATGTAACAATGATTGTTGTCGCCGCCACCACAGGCCGCTCCACAACCCGTGCGCCCCGCCGCCATGCGTCATCGACATTCTCAATCGATTCCCGCGTCTCAGTTTTTGCATCGCCATCACAGCTAATGGAGTAGAAAAAGCAGCTTTGGGCAAAAACCCGCAAAAAACTCAATCCGCTTGATTTGATTGCCCTCTCCGCTTATTTTCCAGGAAAATAAGCCTTTGGGGTGTCTAAGTTTAGGTAACCTTACTTTGCCTTGCCTTGTTTGCATTAGCTAAAAGGGCAGTGCCATTAGCAACTCACAGCTATGCATGTCATGCTGGGCCTAGGCGTAAATGCTCCGAAAAGAGACATTCTCATTGTAGCATGGCAACGTCACCACGTCCCAGATATGACGCCTCTATGGAGTGTGTCTTCGATTACCTCATACCTGTGTAGAGTGGACGATTGGTGAGATCTGTAACATTGGGACGGGAAGCTTCAGAGTCGAACGCCATGGCGAAGCTATAGCATGAGCCACCATGTCATCATAGGCAG